GTGTGTGTGTGTGAGTGTGTGAGTGTGTGTGAGTGAGTGTGTGAGTGTGAGTGTGTGAGTGTGAGTGTGAGTGTGAGTGTGTGTGTTTGAGTGTGAGTGTGTGTGTGTGAGTGTGTGAGCGTGTACGCGTGAGTGAGTGTGAGTGTGTGAGTGTGAGTGTGTGTGTGAGTGTGAGTGAGCGTGTGCGCGTGTGAGTGAGTGTGTGTGGGAGTGTGTACGCATTTTTGTGACAAATGAGGACATCAATTTGTATAATGACAAAGGTATGACATAGGTATTACAAGGAGAAGGTGACTTTTCAGGACATTACCCCATGTCCCCACTTTTCAAAACACTTATAAATCACACAGAATGGAGTGTATTGAAAATCTGAAATAGCACAAAGTTTCCTGTGAGAGGTAGGTTTAGGGGTAGGGTTGGTGTAGGGCAATAGAATATACGGTCTGTACAGTAGAAAAACCATTACGCCTATGGGATGTCCCCACTTTTCACAAAAACAAACCTGTGTGTGTGTGAGTGAGCGTGTGCAAGTCATTTGTTGTGTGAAGAATTACTCTCTCCTTCTTTTATGTCCATTAACTGTATGTTATGGTTGTGTTGTTCAGGCTCGACTCTTCCCCGAGTGCTTCCGCTCTGTGCTCCGTCCCGTGTGGAGGCTCTGTTCCCTCACTCCCCAGACTCCTGCGAGGCAGAGAAGCCAGGAGACCGAGGAGGAAGCTCATGTCTGCTGTCCTTCCTGCCTGGAGACGCTCTGTCCCTGCTGATCAGTGAACCCAGAGACGGCTGGCACTACGGCCAGAACGAGCGCACGGGACGGTATCTGACCATCAGCCTTTCAGTCAGGGACAGTTAAACACTAGCTATGCCTCATTTTTGTACTGATTTGTGGTGCAGAACTGAATAATCCTGTCAGCAATATGAGGAGCCTGTTCTGAGAACAAGGCTTATATGGTTGTTTTACAATGGCTTGGCATAAAGCAAGATTTTCCTTTTTGTTCGAAGCAAGTTTAAAGCCTGTTCACACCAAGAGTAAAGCCCTTCAAAACTATGCATTCGTATGTACCTACTCGCGCCAGGGACAAGACTTTGCCTGAGGATCAGTGTTATCTTAGTATTATTAATATACTAATATAGTATTTAGTAATATTCTGAAATTATTTGTATTTTAATATTTTCAGTTTTATTTTATTTTTAGTTACATTTTTTTGTCCAACATTTTTTTTTCACTTTTTTTATTCATTTGTATTTTAGTTTTAGTTAAATGAATTTTAATCGCAGTTAGTTGCTAAAGCAATATTTAAATTTTCTTTTAGTTTAAGTTTTTTTCAAGGATTATTTATATTTTATTTATTGGCCATTTTGTTGTATTTTGTTGTTTTTATTAGTTTTTGTTTTTAAAAAATGTTTTTACATTTTTAGGAATTCTTATTTTAACTTTAATTTCAGTAACTTTAGTACATTTAAATGAAAATGAGAAATGTTGCTTTGGCCACTAACTAAGTACTAAAATGACTAAAACAAAAAAAACATAATAGAAATATAAAAAAGACCAAAAATTAAACCAAGATTAAAATAGATTAAGATTCAAATAAAATATTAATTTAAAATGAAAATTAAAAATGTTGCTTGGGTAGCTAACTGAGATAAAATAAGTTAAATGTTTTTGTAATATTTATATTATTTTGTTTCTGTTTTATTTCAATTAATGACATTTTTAATAGGTTTAGAGTTTGTTAATGACAACAATGCTGCTGAAGATGGAAAGATAGAGTACAGTTAGTGTGAGCTTTGGGATCATGCGTCTGAAATACAGTGCAATCTATATTATCTGAGGGACTTTTTTCTGTGCATTAATACATATTATTAACTGCAGTGCATTTCATTTAATCTGGTTTGTACAGACTTTTCTTCATCTGCAGTTTTTTTTTTCAGTCTTGTATGAACAGGCCTTTTAAAAGCTTATTGCTGTTTAGGTTTATGGTGTCTCAGATATTCAGACGCTTGTTTTATTGTTATGCTGATGTTCTGAACTCTCCTTCATAGAAAAGGCTGGTTTCCCTTCTCCTACACACAGCCTTTCCCCAACACTCCCGGACAAGATCTCAGGTCTGATCCATCCCAATGACATACAGTAATATCTTGCTGCTGTCTCAGAAGGGCTTGCATTCCCATCACTCCCCTCTTCTTCTCTGTGTCTCTCATCACGGCTGCAGTCCTCCTGCTCTGTCGAAGGTGAACAGCAGCAGTATGGGGCAGTTAGACAGGCTTCCCCCCGCGGGTCAGATGCCGCAGGTCTGTCCTGACTCTGAGGACGAGAGGAGCGTCTTGTCCCAGCGCATCAGCACCTTCAGACCACGACCCTACAGCATGATGAACCCCGAGACCAGCAGGATGAGGGTCAGAGAAACCACCTTCACGATGACTGTCACTGTCACTGTATTGCTTTTTGAATGAAATGAAAAATAGCTTAAATGTGCTCACCTTCAGGCCATCTGAGATTAGGATGAGATTGTTTCTTCATCAGATTTGGAGAAATGTGTCACTGCATCAGTGTCTCAGCAATGGATGCTCTGCAGTGAATGGGTGCCGTCAGAATGAGAGTCCAAACAGCTGATAAAAACATCACAATAATCCACAAGTAATCCACAGCACTCCAGTCCATCAGTTAACATCTGGAGAAGACAAGAAGTCCATAATCTATAATAACGCTTCCTCCAGTGAAAAAGTGCATCTCCTGTTGTCGCTCTCATCAAAATCCAGCCGCATATTTGTTTAGAGCTGTTTAAACGCTGCTTGATCTGTGCAGATTTCTCTCCTGATTCAGACCAGAACACTTATTCACTGGAGGAAGCGTTATTATGGACTCATATTTTAGTTAGAAAAGTCTTAATGCTGGATTTGTTTCAGCTTTTGTCTTCTCCAGATGTTAACTGATGGACTGGAGTGCTGTGGATTACTTGTGGATTATTGTGATGTTTTTATCAGCTGTTTAGACTCTCATTCTGACGGCACCCATTCACTGCAGAGCATCCATTGCTGAGACACTGATGCAATGCTACATTTCCACAAACCTGATGAAGAAACAATCTTGGATGGACTGAGGGAGAACACATTTTCAGCAAAAGTTTCAGCAAATTTCCATTTTTGGATGAACTATTCCTTTAAGACAAGACACTAACAGGTGAATAGGGTAAAACAAAAGAGTACATTAGGTAGCCTACTTTTTTTTGTATTGCAGATTTTCTAAAATGTTATGTTAATATATGCAGTTGAGATACTAGTGAATTAAACAACGCACCAATTTGCATACAGTTCCAGAACATAAATCTGAACATTAAATAAAAATGGTTTGATTTTGTTGATATCTAGAGGTAATGGTTTTCATATAGGGAATTTTGTATTTCTTTTTTAGCACAAAATAATATATTTTGAAGAATGATGGAAAGCAAACTGTTAACGGTAGCCATTGACTTCCATAGAATTATAATTTTTTTGCATACTATGGAAGTCAATGGCTACCGTCAACTGTTCCAACAGCTGAAAGAAATTCATACAGATTTTGAGCAACTGAGTAAATTATGACAGAATTTTCATTTTTGTATGAACTATGCCTTTTAAATGAGTATTTTGGATGTTTAGTTTCAATAATCTGAATAAAGACGTTATGGAAGCAAAATAGACCAAAATCTCAAAACTGAGCAGAGCATGAAACCCCGGTGGTTTTGCCTGTAGTGTCTCAAGATGATTCTTATATGTGACCCTGGACCACAAAACCAGTCATAAGGGTCCATTTTTCGAAATTGAGATTTATACATCATCTGAAAGCTGAATAAATAAGCTCCCCATTGATGTATGGTTTGTTAGGATAGGACAATATTTGGCTGAGATACAACTATTTGAAAATCTGGAATCTGAGGGTGCAAAAAAATCTAAATAATGAGAAAATCGCCTTTAAAGTTGTTCAAATGAAGTTCTTAGCAATGCATATTACTAATCAAAAATTAAGTGTTGATATATTTACGGTAGGACATTTACTAAATATCTTCATGGAACATGATCTTTAATTAATATCCTAATGATTTTTGGCATAAAAGAAAAATCAATAATTTTGACCCATACAATGTATTGTTGGCTATTGCTACAAATATACCCCAGCGACTTAAGACTGCTTTTGTGCTGCAAGGTCACATATAAAAAATTTTTTTTCTCATTGGAACTTTTTTCATTGTAAATGTTCACTTATTTCTCTTTCTGACTAAATCATGCACAGATTTAGAATGTATTGTTTTATATTCTGCTGACACTGACGTGTTTTCCTCAGACGTCGACTGATTTCACCTCGACGCCTCCATCACCCAGCAGGTAAAGCCAGTGCCCTGTGTTCAGAAGAGCGCTCCACGTCTGATGGGTTAGTTCATTTAACCGTCCCCTCTTCACAGGATCAACCCGTTCGCTCATATTCGCCTCAAGAAGACGGTGACCAATGATCGCTCCGCCCCACTGATACAGCAGAGCCTTTGATTGACAGCCAGAGATGCTCCTGTGAATGCTTCATGAATAACCCAAACTCTGAGAGGCAGAGTTTACACTTTTGAGAGAATTAAGTGCATTTAGATCATTTAGGATTTAGCAGATCAAACGTATATTCTATATATATTACATTATCAGAAAAATGAAATATTTCAAGGTCTTTATGTATGAGTGCACTGACCTTTAACATTTAACTCCATATTATGGACAACAGTTTCTTCAGTATTTTAACTCCTTTACTGTAATGTCTACGATGAAACAGTCAATTCTCGAAAAAGTCAGTTTGACAAAACGTAGATGTTTTTGGTATATCTGATATTTGTGGAGACGATTCACAATTTAGTTTCATGAAATATTTACTCACTCGTGTCATTCCACATGCTATCTATCATTTTTGGGTGAATTGTTCCTGAGTGTACTTCCCACACAAAATAAGATACTTTCTCCTAAAACTTTTATTTTATGTATTTTTAAATATTGAATAAAGACAAGGTATCCTAGAGCATTCTGGGAGAAGCAGGTGAACGGACTGTTGGAGTCAAAAGCAGGGAAATGGAGTATAGTTATATATAGAAAGGCTTTGAGAGAGTTTTTGGAAAAGCGTTGTGTTTGTGAAAGTGTGACGTGAAGAGGCTCTCGCTCTGGTCTCTTGTCTCCCTTCCATCTGCTCTTATGTGTTTTGTTAAACCCCAGATCTCTAAAACTAAAGCTCGAGACCGTGCAGAGACGTGACAGAAGGTCTGGAAAGTGTAGACGTGCTGGAGGACATGACGGATAGATGAGAAATAAGCTGAAAAAACGTCTTTCTGACCCTTTTTCACCATTATTTTGGGACAGAGAAGACTTAACGATGTATTCGAAATTAACCAAAAGAATATGATTCATTTACTTTTGAGTTTGTGTGTTACTGTAAGTTAAATTGTTTCTGAATTGTCTTAAAAGTTGCTTATCGTTGTGAGGTTTTACACTGAAACCAATCTAACTAATTATTAAAGGTGAGACCTTTGTTCACAAATGTTTGAATTATTTCTCCACTCCTGGGTCGGTTTGTTCTGATACCTTCATTTATTAACTTTTTCTATTATAAAGATATCTTAAGTTGAATAATGCTAAAAGGTTAATCTCCAACCTTATATATGCAAATATAATGGTATACTGTAATACAGTGAGAAATTATTTTTTTTCATAAAATATCATAATTACATTAATAAAATGAACATGAATTTGATATTTGATCATGTTCTCGTCATCATCTGAGATGATCAAGAGCAACTTGAGCTTGAGTGGATGCAGGAATGCTCAAAAACACTCGGGTGCATCTCAACAAATTATGAAGAAATCACGGAAAAGTTCTTTCTTTTTTGTTTTATTTTAAATTTCCTAAGCTGCAAGTCGTAACCATCAGAATTAAAACAAAAACTTTAAATATTTCAGTTTGTGTGCAATGAATCTAGAATATAAGAAAGTTAGCTTTTTTGAATTAAATTACAAAAAATAAAGAACTTTTCCATGATATTCTAATTTTTTGAGATGCACCTGTACACTTGATTAATGCTAATTTCTTTGTATTAAATTCATTTAAATCTTAGACTGTTGAAATGAAAAGCATCTCAGACTTTTGGACGCCGCTGCATGTTAGTCTGTATTAGTTTGTGAGTTTAACTTTGATCCCTGCTCACACTGTACTTTTATTAAACACCCCAGAGAACAGCGAACACTGGCATTTAAAGCAGGACTTTACTGTACGACTCAGCCTGATATAAAAGCATTGTGTTCTGATACTCTACAAATCACTCACACATTTTGGTCTCTTGAACGCTTTAACTTCATGATAACTGTATAGCCTTTCTTCCTTTTTTGTTTTTTAAATGAACTTCAATAAACAAAGTTAATCTCTGTGGTTTGGACTTGTTTTTGCTATTATGATAAAAGCCCATGAATGTTACAAAACTGTAGCAGAATAAAAGATATGGTGTTTATTACAGATATGGCAAGTCTATTTTGTGAAAGACTAAATTAATCTACAATATCAATACAATATATCAAGGATAATTAAATAAAGGGCTTTTATTGAGACAGAAGTAAAGGTGAGTGTGACTGTACATGACTCTGAAGGGCTTTCACAGGTTTTTCAGCCAATCCAGGTTCTTCCCCTGCGGGTCCGAGGGATGCGCTGGAACGTCTGGCATATTTCCATCATCTCGAACTGGGACTGAAGAGAGAAACGTGATTCAAAAGATCAACTAAAACTAATTACAGATTCATGATGAGATTAAATGCACTGAGCTCAAGCCTTTCAATATAAACATCTGAGAATTAATAAATAAATCAGTAAATGTAATAATAAAAATCAGGGTTATTTCAGCTAACTAAAACTAAATCTGAAACCAAAAAAAACATTTTTGATGAAATAGAATAAATGTTCACAGAAATAAAATATACAAAACCTTTTCTTTCAGATAGCTTCCAAAGCAACATATTTTAATTTAGTTTAACTTTATGTACTAAAATAACTACAACTGAAATAAAATTTATAAAAACTATATATACATATGTATATATAAAAAAAGAAAACATTAAAATAACTTTAAATTAAAATGAAAATATAAAAATGAAAATGGAAATTCAAAATAATAAAAACTAATAGTATCTCAAAGAGATATATATATATATATATACACAGGTGCATCTCAAAAAATTAGAATATCGTGAACAAGTTTTTTTTTTGTAACTTATTTCAAAAAGTGAAACTCATATATTCTAGATTCAGTACATGTAAAGTAAAATATTTCAAAAGGTTTTTTGTTTAAACTTTTATGATTAATGTGAGTGAGTGAGTGTGTG